TTTTTTTTTTTTTTAACAACGTCGGTTGCCCTTCAAACCTTTTACCTCACTCATACATAATCACTGTCCTTTTTTAGAGGAAAATTTAAAAATTTATAGTTCAAAGAAACATATTACGTATTTTTTGATAAAACAGGGTCAAACAATTTAAAAAAAAATAAGTGTATTTCCAAAAACCAAAAAAATTTTTCCCCCAAACTTTTTGTGGAAAAATTTTGAAAAAAAAAAAAGGGTTTTTAAAGCAAATACGTATTCCCCTAGAAATTTTTTGTCAATGATGCATTTACAAAACAAGACCAGTCTCAACATGAAAGAAAATCAAATGTATACAACACTTCTATATTAATTAAGCTCATTTAAATCTGCACTATCACAATACAAAGGAATCAATTTATGCATATCTATATATATTAAAATACCAGTTTCCATGTATACTTAGTTCTACTGAACTGTGTTACATATAAAACAAGGCACAGTCAACTCTACTTTCTAAAGCCCATCAATATCTGTGTTGTGGCTAAATTAACCTCTCATGGTAAAACTCAATTCATGGATGTATTCTCTATCCATCACATACCATCTTTGCACCATTACTAACCAAACTGTGTGGAACGGGAACACCAAGCCTCAAAATAAGCAAAAATCTTTATTTAGTTCTCCCCCTCACTGATTTTCCAGACTCCTCTCCAAATGTCCCAAGCCTCAAAAGCTCATCGTGCAGAGCTAAACCCTAAAGGGTTAGAGAGCACTAAATGGGATATATGAATATCCTTAATAGGTAATATTCTGAATATCCTTAAGTAATATCCTGAATATCCTTAATGAGCAATACACAAGTATTGCCCATGGAGGATTTTCAGAGTATGTAATTCATAAGAAAAAATTATGTTTTTAAATACTATATTAAAACTTATCAATGTATTTTTTTATTGCTGGAGAGAATACATGAGTGCATCAGTAGTTGGCATTAGTAAGTGTGGCCAGCAGTAACAGCCTGGTTGATCAGGCCCTGATCCACGTGGAGGCCTGGTCAAGGACTGGACTGCAGGGGTGTTGACCCCCAGAACACCCTCCAGGTAGGTAGATCATTTTGACAAAAGCATAACTAACAACAATGCTTGGCCTATGACTGTCTCCAGGTCTCAAGCCCTTTTTAATTTATGTATTATTATTACTGTCACATTCAAACTCACAAGTCCTGTAATGTGTATGCACACACACAATAATAAACTTCCTACACTTATGCTAATTAGTATTGTATGTATGTTGGTCTGTAATGCAGTGGTATTATACCTCATATTATTCAGAAGTCTTTTTAATGATATTACCAATAATTTTTTTTTTTTAGTTAGTGTATTGTATTCCATGTACAGTAAGTAACTGTTAGCTTAAGAGCTGCTCAAAATGGTATACACATAGACTTACATTATAATTATAAATTTGTTTTTCAACCCAGTACAATACAGTAAGTAAACATATTAGCACCTCAAGTTCTGAGTCTGGTATGCCTGGTCAATATTAATAACTCTGGATCAAAACAAAATGGTAGATAACTACGTACATAATGAGCATTAACTCAACAATGGTGTTCCTGTAATTTTTAACGCTGCTGATTTTATTATTAACAAAGATGAACCTGAGAATGATGCAACTGCATTAATCTCTCATGAACCAACATCTATTATTTACCATTAGAGACAATTCTCACACACAAACTCTAAAATACAAGAAAATGGAAACTTCACCAGGATTACTACACTAACATGAAAGACACATACAAGTCACTCTTTGGAAGAACAACACACTTGACAAATATTTAAAGTACACACACAATTTATTACTTTACCTATACTGTATGTTACACTGCAATGTTTCTAAAATAGTCTCAATTTTCTATCATTCACTTACTTTATTTTATAATATTTAATTAAATCTAGTTCTCTGTATAACAGTGACAGGATTTTTTACAGCATACCTATTGTTAAAATTAAAATTATTTTGACAATGAGGCAACTAATTACTTTTTCACACAGCAGTACTGTAAAATATCAAGATCCGCACACTTTTCACCGAATGTTTTAGCCATTACATAAAAAAATGTGATAGTGTATTTTGATACAATGTCCCATAGTATTTTACTAAGCAAGAAGATACTAATGTATGTTATTATTATTATTATAATCAAAAAGAAGCGCTAAGCCACAAGGGCTTAATGTACGTTAGACTAATATGTTTAAAAACAATTATTTGAAAAATTACTTACCTTAATGCAAGTCTGCAAGCACTACACAAAAATCAAATGAAATTTATAAATGGAAAGAACTTTCATCAGCACAAGATATTCAAAATTTGTAATCAAATATTAATTGTGCCATCTGTTATAGTGCATTATATTATTAAAAAAAAAATACAATTCACAACAAACCCACATTATAAAAAACTGGACAATGTTCTGCTGGATCCTCAAACACTGTCAAGTCTAGGACTGATTGTCATCCAGTTTTATTTCAAATTTGCAAGTTTGTTGTAAACTGTTCCAGATACAGTGCTGCAACTTTTATTCCTGTGAAAAAATACAGCACTGTATTGCATACTTATACATTAAACTAGGAAGCAAAACACTTAATTCAAATGGCACAAATCTTAGCTTAATAACATTTGCTCAATAAAATTTTTAAATAATTTCTAATTCATTTAAATTTTTCAAATATGTACAGGGTTAAGTAAGAGAATAGAAGAAAATATGAGAGACAAAGAGAAACATGATATAAGAAGTAATGCCTAACTAATCAGGTGCGAATTAAGTAAAACGACAAAGGGGATCAATACAAAAATAATTTCCAGGGGTTAGGCTCCTGGAAATGATGTGAATACAGAAATCTCTGATTGGGGTTATGCAAAATGCAAAAACACGAGAGAGACCAAGAAAAACTGAATATGAGGAATGCAAATTAAAGGGTTCAACTGTACAAAGTTTTATCCTTGAATACATTTTCTTGGAAAGGCCATGAGCCTTTTTATTTTATCTAAAAATGCATGAAATGCTTCTAATTAATAAATACTCTATAAAATCATTCAAAGATCTAACTGAATGCTAAGTATTCAGCAGAAAATTTACATTCGTAAGTGACTGGATATGACAAAGAATGCCAGCAAGCTGGTTACTAACTACAGTGTGGAAAGTATCATTTTGAAAACATCAAGGCTCAGAGAAAGCAGTTGATGACATTCAGTCCCCAAAGTGAAAGTAATGAAGGATTTCGGCAGCAGAAAAATTTGGTCCTTTCAAAATTAACAGGCTTGGACAACGTGCTTAGAGTGGTTCAAGCAATACAAAATATTTTCAACCACTATGACAACATAGATGTTTATTTTTCTGAAAAATTGCAAATCCAACAAAAAGCTGGTCCTTAATTATTAAGATTCTTGCAGTTGGACTATATTGCACTAGATAAATGAGACACTTGTGCATCTTTATACTGGAAATATTTCACCACCCAGTAGCTTCTTCAGTCCAATGCAGAAAAAGGTGGAAGATGTGGAGGAGCTTGAGGTAATAAGTTCCTCAAGTGTCTCATTTTTCAACTTGGTTTCCTAAACCATTTATTCATATACTACACTTACCTGTGATGTAAATACATTTGGGCTTATAAATCAATATGCTTTATACATGAATATTTCTTGCATCAAGGTAAAAATACACAAGCAATTATTGAAACAAATTAGTTTGAAAGATCCACTTAATAACACAGTAGCAAAAGCCAGTATAAAAACCCAAGTTATTTAAAAAATAATATATATTAGTGCACCCATTTATTTGGCATATTATATTGCATAAACAGTTAAACTTTTATAATAAAAAATGTAGATATGGCTCTATTTAAATGTTACATGTGTGCTACACTAAATATGAGGGCCATCTGAGAAAATACGTATGAATTACAAATACTGATACTGATACATCTATATGAAAATGCCATATTTGTTATCAATACATGATGAGCACAAAACGAAACAATAATGTAGATTAACTGAAGAAATACTATTTCTTTGTAATATAAATCACTCTACAAAATAATACATTAGCACCTTTAGAAATAACAACCTGATGGCCATAAAACTGTAAAGTAAACTGCACTCTGTAATGTATCTTTGTATTCCATGAGAGCATTTATCAACAGTATGAGAGAACACTTGCACTCACAAATCTGTAATCTAGGATCAATTCTAGTTAAACTTTTGCTCTGCTACAAATCTGTACCAAGGTAACTCATCATTTCTGCTTGTAACATCACAAAATTAATGTAAGAAATATTTTCAAATAAAAATGAACTAAGGACTGGCAAACTTTTCATAAATTGTTCATATAATGAAGAAAAAGACTAAAAATAATTCACTCTTTAACCCATAATATAGTAATCATTTATACAGATCTTCAGAAATGATTAGCTTGACTGAGAAGTAAAAAATTGCATGTCACATTATCCAATGTAAGAAAACCATGAATCAGAAATTATACTCTAACAAAGAACGATTAATAATAACAAAATTGGCTTACTCTAGTGAATGGAAGATATTCGAGTACAGCCTCTCCTCACTTAGCAACGTACTATTTACTGATGACGGGCTTTCTGCAAACCTAAATAAAATATATTAGAGCTGATTTCCTCTATTCTGTTTATTACAATATACAGTACACTACTGTATAAACATTTAAAAGTATATACTAAAAAGGTTATAAATGGTACAAAGGTGAAATTAAAACAATATCAAAGATGGTTGACACAAACCCACTACCATTATAGCATGCTCCTTGCTTGGCGACGAAATTGTTTACCGACGTGGTCTTAGGAATGGAACTCTGTCGTTAACTGAGGAAAGGCTGTATTTATAAATGCAAGGTAACACCAAATGCATCAAAACTTACTGTTAATGGCAGTCAGTAGTTAGTAGATTACGACAAAAGAAAATTGTTGGACATACTGTAATCATATTTCAAAGCCTTTTAAAAATTTATACACAAAGTTAAATTGCATTAAGTGTGAATTAATTTTTTTTTTTTGTTAGAACTGTACCTAAATTTTAATACTCTTATTTCACTTCTGGTAAGTACAGTAATTATTAACTGCATACAAAGCTAATATAATAATGGGTGGCCCTACATTATGTAGATTAGAATAAAAATTCATATCAGAGTACTGTACTATAAGAGATATTAAAGTGATGGCAATTCAGCTTAGTTGAAAGGTAACATGTGCTGCTTTGATCTAGGGCTTGAGAACCTGAGCACTGTATTTCTTGTTATCCTAAATCTTAATGTTGTAGTTATTGAAGGAACTGCATAAGACATAACCAAATCAAGTATCCTAGCTTGAAGATTGGGTTAAATAAATTTTTTTTTTCATACACCAGATTAAAAGGTATTTAATTTCTGGTATTAAATATTACTAAATTTACATAAGAGCAAAAAGGTGTTGATGTTATGGCATTAATTATATAATTAATTCACAATAAATTTGTGCACATATAACAGTTTTGCCAGTGTTAAAGATTGCTCTCAAATTTTGTAGTAGTGAAGCCCAATATATTTGACCACATAGAATGTAACCAGCATTTTTGATAATAGTAATACGTTTCACTATTACGTACAATACTCTCTTTTAATTGCACCCAGACCACTTAGCATATTTTAAGATTTTATGGATGGTCTTGATTTTGAATAGGAAAATTCTCAAAACTCATCAAAGGTATATCAAGGGTATGGGAACCTTCTGCACTTGCACAGAAGTTTCCCATACCTTTGATATATGCTCCCAAGTACATTTTCTCCTGGGGCCCCCAAATGCCCACTAATACATAATATTGTGCTTAATGTTCAGTATCAAGCTCTATCACAAGAACAGCACCACATTTGAAGACAAGTTTAAAGACTATTCTATATATGGTATAAAAATCTAGGGTGATGCAAAAATATCTACAATAGTGAAATTTGTGGCATGTCTTTGTATCTAAGAGGGTCACAGTCCCAACTTAATTGCATATAATGGGTTCAGTGGACAGCACTAGTTACTGACATGCATGAGAAATTATTTCTTCACCCAACCATTTTGATCCTATTTCTACCAAAGATAACAATACAAAGAAGTACATTAGGTACATTACTGCCAGCTGAATTTACTTGATATAAAGTATTTATTAACATTGTAAACCAAAACACACACAAGATGATCATGGAAGGAACACTATGTTTGCATATTCCATTAAAACAGGCCTTTGTAAAATGTGATTCAAATAAATACTTTGTGCATTACTGCATATCTATTTTTAGAAACTATGTGAATTATTGAATGACTGAAGGATTTAATTACAGTTTTGTGGAATCTTAAATTAAGGTAACATTTGTGGTTTCTCTCCTGATCTACAAAATACAAGATTATGAACAAAATAATAAAGTCTACCTTAAATATATAAGAAACCCAAAATAAAAGGTATTTAACTCTTAGCTCATTATCAGTACCACATACATTTTAGGAACGATTTACTTGGGTGGCTAGTAGAGCCCCCCAGTTAACTGGGCCAAGATGACTTATACATTAATCCAGACCTGAATGACTGGATGGTCTTCCTTGCCCTTGGAAGCACTGCCTAAAGGAAAAGTGAATGGATTTATCTTGAAACATTACTAAGGGCACCAAGTTCCATTTACTTAACCTTAACACTACTCTCTCAACATTTTCTTATTCCTTTTTAATTATATGACCTTACAGATACTTCATCTTTTCATACTTTTTCCCCAATACTTGTTTAACTTTTATTTGCACAGGGAAATTACTAGTTTTTTTTTTTAATTCTCACCCTTCTCTTCTTTTTCTGTTAAAGAAAGTAGTAGCCAAATCAGCATAATTCTTTGCCAAATGTGTCAGCAGTTAAGTCTTTAAGCATTAGCAATGTCTGGGAAAGTTTTTACTTGCAGCAAACCTTTCAAGATACTGTATAAGATTCTTGAAAACATTTTTATCTGAACTAAGACAAATCGCCACAAGGTATAGAAATCAGATCCAAACATTTTTTTTTTTTTTCCACCAAGTCGGCCGTCTCCCACAGAGGCAGGGTGACCCAAAAATGAAAGAAAATCCCCAAAAAGAAAATACTTTCATCATCATTCAACACTTTCACCTCACTCACACATAATCACTGTTTTTGCAGAGGCGCTCAGAACACAACAGTTTAGAAGCATATATGTATAAAGATACACAACATATCCCTCCAAACTGCAAACTGTCTGCAGAAATACTTTTCGGTGATTACTCTATCTCAATTGTGTCAAAGTAAGAAATAAAATAATTGACTTACAGTAAGTTCTTATAATAAACATTTGAATTTTTGTATCTATTTTTTGTACACTAGTGTAGCAGACTGTAATGAAAAAAATTCCTAGATTGTCTAAAGTTGAGACCACAATCAATGGAAGCAGGAAATCTGTATTTTCTTTAATTTGACAACTAATTTTATTCTTACCACACCTACTGTCTCTCACCAAAATAGGGTGTCCTCTCCCCAAAAAAAGGAAACACATTCACCATCATTCACTCAATAGCTGTCTTGCCAGAAGTGCACAAACAACAGAATTTCAATGACGCACTGAACTGCAATATCCCCACACCTCCTTTCGAGTATAGGCACTTTACTTCCCACCTCCAGGACTTGAGGCCAGCTAACCAGTTTCCCCAAATCCCTTTATAAATGTTACCTTGTTCACACCCCAATAGCACATCAAACCATAAAATCCACTTGTCTCTGCTCCAATCTAACATACTCGGGCTAGCCTGCCGGACACTGAAGCCCCACTCAAAACCTCTTCTAGCCCTTCCCTCCAACCTTACCTGGGACAACTCCTACCTCTCCCTCCTTCCATCCCAAATTAAATACATCATATTGGGCATTGTATTCTTCTCCATCCTCTCTGAATACCCAAACCACTTCAATACCCACTACTCAGCCCTGAATTATACCTTTGGTAACCCCATGCTGTCTTCTAATTTCTACGCTCCAAATTCTCTGTATATTTTAGTCAAATCCTAATATAATAAATGCAGGAAAAAAGTTTATTTGATGAATAGGATGAAAAGTAGTACAGTGGACCCCCGGATAACGATCAGCTCCCAACTCGACCAATTATGTAAGTTTATTTTTGTAAGTGCTTTTGTAGGTGTATTTTTAGGGGTCTGAAATAGACTAATCTAATTCACAATATTTCTTATGGGAACAAATTCGGTCTATAACGGCACCCAAACAGACTTCTGGATTGAAATAATATCGTTATGCGGGGGTCCACTGTAAACAGATCATTATATTAGTGTACACAGAATTTCTTACGGAAACTTTCTGGGTCATTCATACTTGGAAATTTAATATTAAACTAAATACAACAACGTGTAGAGCTGCTGTAAAACTTATACTTTTACTTATGGAGTGACTTAGACAATAGAGGGGAAGAGGTAGAAGTGCTGAAGGTAAGCATTGGGACAAAAGAAGGTATCATTTTTAGTCAATCAATTGTTAAGAAAAAAGTAGATTCTGCAGTCAATGTGAGACTGCCAGAAACAAGGGGAGACAAAGTAAACATGTCAGAGTTTAAGAAGGCATAAAGTTGTTGTACAGATATTTCTTAAAGATACTTACTGGTAGAGATAAAACCACACACTGAAAAAAAAAAAGTGTGTAATGCAGAGGCTTCAGGGGATATAGTGAGCAATGATTTATGTCCTGTGGATTAATTTCTTATATGGTAAATATCATTCTCATAAAAAAATAAGCAGCCTATGTAATCTTGGGATGGGATAACTAGTGACCTTTGTACACCATCATGTGCAAGCAAACAGAGAAAGTGGAAGTCTCGTACTGGTTTTGATTTCGAGCAAACTGACGTAGTGTACTGTTAAGACTTTATTTACCCCTAGTGCACTTTTTATTCCAGCAGCCACTTGCTGATTAAAACACTGCTCTATCTAGGACTTAGGCCTTTAAATCTAATTTTACTAAGACGATAAGTTTCTAATCAATGAGGATCTACTAACAAGATTTTAGTAGAGCACTGCCACACTATATGTACCTTTAGAAATCTGTTTTTCTTTTTATTTTGGCTTTTTCCTGCATAAAAATATGAATATTCAACTATATGAAGGGCAGAGGTGTATATTAGTATCAATGCTTTTGATTTATTTGACCATAACGCTATTCATAGATGGTACGGGTTACTCAGATTTTTTTTTTTTCAGCAAACAGGCCATATCCCACCAAGGATGGGTGGCCTAAAAAGAAAAATGAAAATTTCTTTTTTTAAATTTAGTAATACTTGGAATTTAATATTAAACTAAATACAACAATGTGTAGAGCTGCTGTAAAACTTATGATTTTACTTTTTAAAGTACAAATTTTCCAACTGTAAATTTAGTTTTTATTGCATTTATGGATTTAGAAAAGGCATATGATAGAGTGGATAGAGGAGCAATGTGGCAGATGTTGCAAGTATATGGAACAGGTGGTAAGTTATTAAATGCTGTAAAGAGTTTTTATGAGGATAGTGAGGCTCAGGTTAGGGTGTGTAGAAGAGAGGGAGAATACTTCCCAGTAAAAGTAGGTCTTAGACAGGGATGTGTAATGTCACCATGGTTGTTTAATATATTTATAGATGGGGTTGTAAAAGAAGTAAATGCTAGGGTGTTCGGGAGAGGGGTGGGATTAAATTATGGGGAATCAAATTCAAAATGGGAATTGACACAGTTACTTTTTGCTGATGATACTGTGCATATGGGAGATTCTAAAGAAAAATTGCAAAGGTTAGTGGATGAGTTTGATAATGTGTGCAAAGGTAGAAAGTTGAAAGTGAACATAGAAAAGAGTAAGGTGATGAGGGTATCAAATGATTTAGATAAAGAAAAATTGGATATCAAATTGGGGAGGAGAAGTATGGAAGAAGTGAATGTTTTCAGATACTTGGGAGTTGACGTGTCGGCGGATGGATTTATGAAGGATGAGGTTAATCATAGAATTGATGAGGGAAAAAAGGTGAGTGGTGCATTGAGGTATATGTGGAGTCAAAAAATGTTATCTATGGAGGCAAAGAAGGGAATGTATGAAAGTATAGTAGTACCAACACTCTTATATGGATGTGAAGCTTGGGTGGTAAATGCAGCAGCGAGGAGACGGTTGGAGGCAGTGGAGATGTCCTGTTTAAGGGCAATGTGTGGTGTAAATATTACGCAGAAAATTTGAAGTGTGGAAATTAGGAGAAGGTGTGGAGTTAATAAAAGCATTAGTCAGAGGGCAGAAGAGGGGTTGTTGAGGTGGTTTGGTCATTTAGAGAGAATGGATCAAAGTAGAATGACATGGAAAGCATATAAATCTATAGGGGAAGGAAGGAGGGGTAGGGGGTCGTCCTCGAAAGGGTTGGAGAGAGGGGGTAAAGGAGGTTTTGTGGGAGAGGGGCTTGGACTTCCAGCAAGCGTGCATGAGCGTGTTAGATAGTAGTGAATGGAGACGAATGATACTTGGGACCTGACGATCAGTTGGAGTGTGAGCAGGGTAATATTTAGTGAAGGGATTCAGGGAAACCGGTTATTTTCATATAGTCGGACTCGAGTCCTGGAAATGGGAAGTACAATGCCTGCACTTTAAAGGAGGGGTTTGGGATATTGGCAGTTTGGAGGGATATGTTGTGTATCTTTATACGTATATGCTTCTAAACTGTTGTATTCTGAGCACCTCTGCAAAAACAGTGATAATGTGTGAGTGTGGTGAAAGTGTTGAATGATGATGAAAGTATTTTCTTTTTGGGGATTTTCTTTCTTTTTTGGGTCACCCTGCCTCGGTGGGAGACGGCTGACTTGTTGGAAAAAAAAAAAAAAATTAATGACCTCCTTTTTGAAGGTTATTGAATTACATAAAATTGTCCCGCATCATGGATAACTGACTTTTCATTCTCACTAGTCAGCTTAATGAAACTTACAATATATAATCCAACACATATAATGCAAGCAATGTTGATTAAGATATTTTGATCTATTTTCAAGGCAGTAGGTTGACTGGCTCAAGTCAGTACAACAAATACAACAGTGTTAAAAATCAATGATGCAGCTCTTTCTTTCAATAACTGTAATTTCTATATTTCCAAACTTCACAGCATTTACTGATTAACTTTGTACCTCTTTGCCACTGAACATTCCATTAATGTCTTTGCTATTATTCACTCATGTGTATTGTATTGTAGGTAGTAGGTTGGTAGACAGCAGCCGCCCAGGGAGGTACTACCGTTCTGCCAAGTGAGTGTAAAACGAAAGCCTGTAATTGTTTTACATGATGGTAGGATTGCTGGTGTCCCTTTTTCTGTCTCATAAATATGCAAAATTTCAGGTACATCTTGCTACTTCTACTTACACTTAGGTCACACTACACATACATGTACAAGCATATATATACATGCTAAAATGCCGGGAGCAAGGGGCTAGTAACCCCTTCTCCTGTATATATTACTAAATGTAAAAGGAGAAACTTTCGTTTTTCCTTTTGGGCCACCCCGCCTCGGTGGGATACGGCCTGTGTGTTGAAAGAAGAAGAAGAAAGTGTATCGTATGTATTGACAAGTGGCATTTATTCCCTTTCATTTTCACCTCTTGGTGAGAGAAAAAATATACCATATTGCAAGTTTGCTATATATGAATAAATTTCCAATGATCTGCTAGTACCTCATTAATGAACAGAGAATTACTATGAACAAAAATTACTTACCTAGTTACTATTTTTCTTGTAGCAATTACTAAACAACTGTAAGTATTGGTTTCATCACAAGTATTATTTAAATGAGAGACAGATGGAAGGATAAAACTATACTAAAAATGAACAAAACCTGAGAATCTTCAACCATACCGAAATCCATGATCCTAGTACTAAATCTGCTACATATCTAATGTAAACAAAAATATAAGTTTTCCTTCATTATAAGATGATATTTTTGGAGATTGTCCTACATATTTTGCTATGCTACTATGTTGAAATGGATAAAATGCTCAACATCTTCCTCCTTTTTGTCTTGAAGTGCCAGTAGTATACATTACAATAGGCTTTGTGCTTCCTTTTGCCCAAATGATAGCACAAGCTGTTATAAACAAACCCCACAAAACAAGTGCTGGTTCAAGTTTATCAACAAAGTTTCTTAATGTATTTAATCCTTGCTGTAGAGGCTGATTAGTGGCTGGTATATCCATTGTACCAATGGTGCCAATCTTGCGCAAGTATTCGACAAGTGGTGCATGATCCACGGTGAAAATGGGAAGGTAGTCGGCTTCTCGTGTACGTTTCCACCACATTCCGGATTCCCTGCTGGTATTGGATACAAGTGTTAAAGTGAACATAAGACATGCACATTAAACAAATATTCAGCTAATATTATAATAAAATAGGCTATAAAGCTAAGTGTCTATTCAATATTGCAGAGCCAGGGGAGAGGGAGGGGGAAAATATCTGCAACTATCCTAAAAATACTGTCATCTAACAAGTTTAAGCCAAAATACAGTGACCCCTCTAATTAACAGGCTAACAGTGAGGAGGGGCATACAATATTGCCAACTGTCAAAAACTTCCAATCTATGATTTGACAGACAGACAAAATTCTGAATCAGCAGACTTGGTCCAATGACAGAAGACAACAGGACACTACGAATACAGGTATTGTAATCTGTAGTACTACAGTACGGTAAACATGAGATGTATGAGGCTGCTGTCGGCATAACACGATGTACTGTTTTGCAAAAAACTTTTGTTTCTTAAGTAGAAAGAGTACATTCTAGAATAACGATAAAAAGTACAGTACAGTAAATACATAAACCGGTATCATAGTTGTTTATTATCAAGTATTATGTATTATACATAATTGTACGTGCTATACTTTTATGTGAATGGCAGCGCAGTAGGTTTGTTTACACTACAGTTGTATACGTGGTCCACTGCTGACCAAAATGCCGTTATGCAGTGCATGACTGCAATTGCCAAAAACTGTTAAATAAAGGTCTGTTAATTTGAGGGTTTGCTGTAATGGGCAATGCTGGTTTGTTCACATCATTTCTATTTTTTAATTTTTTTTTTTATTTTATATTAAGTGCTAAACCCATGTGGGTTATTCAGCACAAGATGTAGTGATTTGATCTTCCATCTGCTGACTGCAAGGTGGACTCACTCCCTATTTGTGCTCAACCAGATGCTCATTTTCTGTATACTTGTTTCTGTGCTTTCTTTAACCTCTGTTTTTTCAGTCACACATACAGTGATAACCACTATTATGTTCATAGTGAAGTGCTAAACCCATAGGGTGGCAATCAAACTTGATCCAATTAAAGGAAGGTATGCTCTAATTCCTCAAATGAAGAACCCATCAGTATCAAGAAATTCCTACCTCCCCCCTCCCCTTCCAATGAAGGAAGAGGAATGCTGAGGAGGAGGATGGAAAATAAGGCCAATAAGAGGCAAAAAATAAAGAAAAACAATAAGGCAAATTGTTCTGAAATTTTAATTCTAGTTTTACTTACCCTTCAATAGTGTCTGTGAAATGATACAAGTATTTAGAAGCTTTAATATATTTTGGCGGGGAGTCTCTCCAAGCTGAGGAAGGATCCAACAAAGAAATTACTTCAGGCTGGCCAGAAAGAAGGCGGTAAGCCAAGGAGATGAGCCAAGGGTTCTGGTTATATGTTCCCAGAGCAGCAAACCACAACTGCCAATCCACGCGTGGCTGGTGAGGAGCTGAAATAACATAAGAGATGGTGTGAGATGTAATTGAGGTTCAAAACTAAGTCACAAATAGGTAGTGATGTGGTAATGGAAATGAAATCCAAGAATAGACAGGTTCTCTTTATCAGTTACTATTCCTTCAGATTAAATTACTAAAACCTTACTAATAAAGGAAATATTAAAAGGCAATAGCAATTTAATGATATTAGAGTCAAGACTCTGAAAAATATATGATCTGTCCAAAATATTTCTATAAAAATATATTGTAATACACTAATTAGTACATGAATTCACTGACCTACTAAAGGGGGTGCAGAATCTAAGGCTCCTGGCTTGTAAGGAAATTCATACACAATCCAAGGCCCATCAAGGCTGTTGGCACCCTCCAATATTACTTCTGGTCTTCCACCAACTCCAGTCATACGACGGAAGAGTCCATAGGCAGAGGTTAATTGCAAGTCAGAAGTGTGTTCATAAAAATTTTGAAACACAGGCCAGACGCGTTGATTTGTCGGCCTATCTAACACCGAATATGGAACCTAGATAAATAAAAAGGGAAATTCTCATTAACTCCCACAATGTGAGAAGCAAAGGTAGTCACTTATGTTGCTTGTGTAGTGTTTGTGTTGAATGCAATATGAGAGCGAGTGGTAGAGAAGCAGTACTACTGTTGCTGGCTTTATAGTATGTATTGTTAAATGTACATGAATGGAAGAAAGGGAGACAATGCTGCCATGCAGGGTTGTGTGAGAGAGAGTGAGGGAGAGAGGGGAAAGAGGAAAACAAGTCCTAATTCTGCTGGCCTTGCAATGTTCTATCAGATGTATGCAAGTGAGGAAAGCAGCTTACTCAATGCTATGCATACAGTATTGTCAGATGCAATCCAAGAGGGAGTGGAATGGGGGAGGAAGGTAAGAGAGCATGAGTGGGAAATGAGAGGAAAGGAAAGATAGAGGGACCTATCTGAGTACTGCTCATTGTTCTTAATTCAGTGTTCAAATATATGAAATCAAATGTAGAATATTATGGTTAAGGAACACGTCTTTCTTTCAACAAACAATATTATAACATTGGTGTCTATGATAAATCTTCTTCTTTCAACAAACTGGCCACATCCCACTGAAGCAGTTATCTCACAATACATGTAAACTTTTACAAATATAAGCCACTACTAACCAAACTGATTCCAAACATGATAATGGCAGCAAGTGAGTAGACAAATGTTGTGCTGAAGACGCCAAACCTGTCAAGGCAGCCACGAACTTCAAACAATGCAGAAGTGAGAGCTTCTGCTATTGTAATGACTAGGGAAAAAGCTCCAATAGCTATACTGAGGGGCACAGCTCGGGACATCCAGGCATCAAACTCTTCTCGATTAAATGCTGAAAAAAAAAGTGATCACTCTCTTTCAATTTTATGCTTTTTAATCAACATCAAGACACAGTATGTTCTCTTTGTTCAGAATACTAGAAAATTTTGTTAATATTATTTATTACTCTGAAACCCTCATATATACTTGAAATATCACACATAAATATAGAAGCATCCATAAGGCCCCTTTTTTCCTCTCTCCTCCCCAAAGAAACCAAGCTTACCTATGCTACACTCAATTGTCCCTTGTGGTGTGACTCGCAATGAGAAGTAGGCCATAGTGTAGTAAGCTAAGATTCCAAAGCCAACCCACTTGCCGATCCAGCTGCAGGTGCCCTTCACGTATGATATAAACCCAAACGAGAGATCTTTAACTGCAAAATTTAAGACACATTCTTCAGTAAATTCATGTAAATTACAATAAAATTTAAAATTTATTGTAATAAAATTCTATCTAAAAGTATTCCTTAGGATGCCTCTAAAACACAATGAAGAGGCATTTAGTATTTACCTCGCTCATAAAACATAATTTTATTGTCTAACATAAATAATCTTTGCATTATTTATATCAAGATTCCCTCTTTATGACAACATTTCCCTGGTTTCTTCACTTTTTAGCCAAGACATTCTTAATTTCTCATTCTACCCTAGGATACTCTATATAATATGGAATTTGCAATTGGGATCATAAATATGTTTCAAACACATTCAGTATACAACATAATACCAGACTTTAAAAAATAAATAACTATCAGAAAATGACTCAGATGTAAGGTTTTCTAGTCTATAAAACATGAAGTATACTCAAAGTAAACAAGTATTCTAACAGGGAAAAGTTTGGTACACACATACATGCATACATAAAAAAAAACATGCAATTGCAGGAACACTAACCGTGCTGATAGCAGAGGTGCATATCATCCATCAACGACAAACACAGTGTGATGGTCAGTAAGTTGAAGAAATTATAATTTCCAGTAAAGATGATCATAATTTGCAAGAAAATCTGAAAGAAGTTTAACAACAAATTTCTTTAAATTCTATGAAAATATACATGTACCAGATCAACAGATGAAAAGACCTAAATCTCAGTCTTAAAATTTCTTGACAAAAATAAAGTGCATTAAAACTTACTTCCTAAAATTCTGTTCACATTTTACATTGTAAATTCCTTTTAATGTACAATATCCAAAGTTAATTTGTGCAACATTGTGATCCAGTTATAACATTAACCTATAAATGGCTTTCCATCCAACAGCTGTAATCACAAAAAATATTATAGAGGCAGAGATATTCAGTAGACCATTGTGTGATACTGCCAACAAGTGTAGGTGACTGAGGCTAGTAGTCAAATTGCCTAAGTGTTTATTTTTCAATCAAAAATAAAAATACATTAATCTTCTGCATGTGACAGCAATTTTAAAATACTAGTCATAGTCCATCAAGGTAGGATGACCTGAGGAAAAAACACATTTCACCATCATTTATTCAACAGTTTTCTTGACAAAAGTGTGCAGACATCACAATTCAGATGACCCTCTGAACTACAACATCCTCACTCTACTTTCAATATTATGTTCCAAAAAAGCATGACTGAAGAACAGCATAAGTATGCTTCTATAACCTGAAAGTAATTTGGAAAGTCCAGGTTCTCAGAATAGGAGGGTTTCCTGAAGCTCTTGGACGAGTTTTCACAGATGAGTCTAGTGTAAACTGAAAAACTGGAATGACTCCTTAAAAAAGACTCCCATTAAAGACAGTTACCATATGCCATTAAATATACACAAGTGATTACCTTATTACTACATATAATAAGAAAATTTTTTTATTTTCTTTTTAGGTGACCCTACCCCAGTGGAAGATGGCTGCTGCACTGAAAATCATTGGCCAAGCATCCCTAGTTTTGAAGGTTTTCATTATCCATCCTATCATTTTCCTAGATGTGATAAGAGGCACTGTTGTGATCTCTGAAAGTGAGATTCTCTGAAAAGCTTGTGCATAAAAATTCTACATTTTTATTACTTTTATCTTAGTACTATTGAGGCACTGTATATGTAATTCATATAGACAATTCAATTCAATGCATCTATCTTGCATAATTTATTCAAGATATAAAGGTAAGTCGGGTGTAGTAGACTGGTAGACAGCAACTGCCCAGGGAGGTACTACTGTCTTGTTAAGTGAGTGTGAAACGGAAACCTGTAACTGTTTTACATGATGGTAGGATTGCCGGTGTCTTTTTTTCCATCTCATAAACATGCAAGATTTCAGGTACGTCTTGCTACTTCTACTTACACTTAGGTCACACTACACATACATGTACAAGCATATATATACACACACCCCTCTGGCTTTTCTTCTATTTTCTTTCTAGTTCTTGTTCTTGTTTATTTCCTATCTCCATGGGGAAGTGGAACAGAATTCTTCCTCCGTAAGCCATGCGTGTTGTAAGAGGTGACTAAAATGCTGGGAGCAAGGGCCTAGTAACCCCTTCTCCTGTATAAATTACTAAATTTAAAAAGAGAACTTTTGTTTTTCTTTTTGGGCCACCCTGCCTTGGTGGGATCGGCCAGTTTGTTAAAAAAAAAAAAAATGCAAGGTTTCGGGTAGACTTGCTACTTCTCCTTACACTTAGGTCACACTATGCATGCATATACAAGCATATAAATACACACTCCTCTGGGTTTTCTTCTATTTTCTTACTAGTTCTTGTTCTTGTTTATTTCCTCTTATCTCCATGGGGAAGTGGAACAGAATTCTTTCTCTGTAAGTCATGTGTGTCATAAGAGGCAAATAAAATGCCAGGAGCAAGGGGCTAGTAACCATTTCTCCTGCATATACTACTAAATTTCAAAAGAGAAACTTTTTTTCTTTTTGGGCCACCCTGCCTCGGTAGGATACGGCCAGTTTGTTGAAAGTACAGCCTCTTCTCCCTTAGCAATGTACTCGTTTACCAATGACTTGGACTGATGACTGGCTCTGTGACCAGTATACATACCTAAATAATGTATATTAGAGCTGATTTCCTGTATTCTGTCAATTAGAATACAGAGTACACTACTGTATAAACATTTAAAAATATATCAGAAATGTTATCAATGGTGCAAAAGTGACATTACAACAATATCATAGGTGGCTGACACAAACCCACTACTATTTTAGTATGCTCCTCACTTAGCAATGAATTTGTTTACCAACATGGTCTTAGAACAGAACTCCATTGTTAAGTGAGGAGAGGCTGTATATTTTTTTGAAATAACCAACATATATTAACTATCATTTCTCTAACACATTGCTTTCACTAACCTGAGTGTAACAGCTGAATATCCTGTGTGAACGCACAGGGCTGAAAAACAGAAATGGCACAGGAATCTCAATGATGAATGTGGCAACTACACAGAGTTTGTGCCACCACAAAGGAAGCTTGTACATGAACCATGCCAGTGCAGTTGGGATGCACTGAGATTCATAATGCAGAGGTAAGGCTGCAGAACAAAAAACAAACAAAACATAAGAAAAATATTTTACAAAAATTAACAATTAATTGATAATCATTTATCCATATGTTCATATATTAAGTACAGTTGACTTTGTAAAATCTTGCTCCCATTTTGAATAGCCTGCAAAATATATTAAGTTGCTCTGGAATTTACACACCTGTCAAGCCCCACCAAGTTGGGCAGCTACTTTGAAGCTTAACAACCCCAGAAGCAAACATGAGTCTGAAGAGTGCCCAGCGGATCAACCACATTGTTACTAGATTCCTTGGGCGATACTCAGACCAGGCACGCCGGCTTACTGGAGCTACTAAGATGGTAAGAAACCCAATCTCCAGCAGCAGTATATCCCTTCAAATAATAAATAATGACAGTTTTAGATGGATATAAAAAAAGTAATAAAATGTTTCGATCTATCTAAAACTTATCCCAGTACGGGAAACTCAAAACTTATTATGCTCACACTTCCTGACTTGTATACAATTTATACACCTAAAATAATGCCGAGTATACTAATCATACCAGGTAATGTGTATGGAAGGGTTATTACTGAAAGAATTAAAGGTAAGGCAGAGAGCAGGAGGCTTTAGAATGGGTAGGGGATGTGTAGACCAAGTGTTTACATTGAAGCATATAAGTGAACAATATTTAGATAAAGGTAGGGAAGTTTTCATTACATTTATGGATTTAGAAAAGGCATATGAGAGGGTGGACAGGGGAGCAATGTGGCAGATGTTGCAAGTGTATGGAATAGGTGATAGGTTACCAAATGCTGTAAAGAGTTTTTATAAGGATAGCAAGGCTCAGGTTAGGTCGTGTAGGGGAGAAGGAGATTACTTTCCAGTAAAAGTTGGCCTTAGAAAGGGATGCATAATGTCACCATGGTTATTTAACATATTTATAATGTTGTAAAAGAAGTAAATGCTAGAGTGTTGGTGAAAGGGGTGGGATTAAATTATGGGGACTAATGTACAAAACGGGAGTTGACATAGTTACTTTTTGCTGTTAGATATTGTGCTTTTGGGAGATTCTAAAGAGAAGTTGCAAAGGTTAGTGGACGAGTTTGGGAGGGTGTGTAAAGGTAGAAAGTTGAAAGTGAACATAGATAAGAGTAAGGTGATGAGGGTATCACACGAGTTAGGTAAGAAAAAATTGGATATCTCATTGGAGGGAGGGGGTATGGAAGAAGTGAATGTTTTCAGATATTTGAAAGTAGACTTGCCGGTTATGAAGGAAGAGGTTAACCATAGAACTGACGAAGGAAAAAAGGCAAGTGGTGCATTGAGGTATCTGTGGAGACAAAAAACATTATCCATAGAGGCAAAGAAGTTTATTTATAAGAGTATAGTGATACCAATACCCTTCTATGGGTGTGAAGCATGGGTTGTAAATGCTGCAGCAAGGAGGAGGCTGGAGGCAGTGGAGATGTCATGTCTAAGGGCAACGTGTGGTGTAAATATTATGCAGAGAATTCATAGTGTGGAAATTAGGTGTGGAGTTACTAAATGTATTATTCAGAGGGTTGAAGAGGGTTTGTTGAGGTGGTTTGGTCATACAGAGAGGATGGAGAAAATAGGATGACTTGGAGGGTGTATAAATCTATTGTGGAGGGGAGGAGAGAGGAGTCATTTTAGGAAAGGATGGAGGGAGTGGGGGTAAAAGAGATTTTGTGTACAAGGGGATGGGCATGCAGAAGGCATGTGTGACTGTGTTAGATAGGAGTGCATGGAGACAAATGGTTTCTGGGACCTGACGAGCTGTTGGAGTGTGAGCAGGGTAATATTTTGTGAATTGATTCAGGAAAACTGGTTAGCTGAACCTGAGTCCTGGAGATGGGAAGTACAATGCCTGCACTTTAAAGGAGGGGTTTGGGATATTGGCTGTTTGGAGTGACATCTAAAATGTCTTATCTGCACACCTCTGCAAAGACAATGATCATGTGTGAATGATAGTGAAAGCATTTCTTTTTTTTTTTTTTTTTTTTTTGGGGTCACCCTGCCTTGGCGGGAGACGACCAAAGTGTTGGGAGGAAGGGGGAGGGAATATGCATGTTTGCAAACCAAACTTACACAAACAAAAATATTCCAAATTAGAAAGTAGAGAGAGAGGCAAGAGAAAGCAGTATGATAGAAAAATACAAAGAAGAGACTATTTCAACAATATTAATGCGGATATATATGTGAACATCATGCCACTACTTTTCAATAAAAATGTAACCTAAACCACTTAAGAAATAGGGTGCACTTTGCCCAATGCTTAACTAAACGGAATAATTTACGTAAATATTAAACTACCCATTAACTAAGAGGGAAATTTTGTGTATGAAGCACCTCACTACACTGTAGAGAGCCTGATATAATGAGAGACTGGGAGGGGGTAAAAATTATGAAGTGCTTATACTCACCACTGGAACCATAAGAAAGTCTGTCCCACCTGGTACAGAGATAGGTAGGCCCCCCAGAGCAAGAAGAAAAGGGTTGCTGTACACCATGACTTCCACACCATCCTGGAATAATTATACTGTACAGTAACAAACTGTATAACTACAATGTTCAAACTGTTTATACTGTTAGTACAGTAATGGACAATATATGGGGATATTTTTATGTACAGTAAAGCATTCTTTATGATGATATGAGTTTTACCACAAAATAAACCATGGGGATAATGGTGGAAAAGAATGAAAACTGAAAGTATGTTAACCTGGAAATATTTGATATTAATAATAAATATTATTACTATATCTGTACAGTACAGCAGGGCCCTGCTTATACAGCAGGTTAAGTTCTGGGCCACTGCTGTAAAACTGAAAATTACTGTAAAGTGAAACATAGCCTTTTTTTTACTTTCAAATACATATAAAAGCCCGTTAACATGTTTACAGTATCATATATTAAGTGAGGAATAGAGCTAGACCAAAAAAACATATACAGTGCACATATTACTTGCTTTAAAATATTTTCGTCTTTGTATCCCTGTCTAAGGCCTACTTTTACTGGGAAATAATCTCCCTCTCACCTGCATACTCTAACCTGAGCTTCACTATCCTCGTAAAGGGCTCTGGTGGCTAACGCTCTCGCTTCACACGGCGAGGGTCTGGGTTCGATTCCCAGCCAGAGTAGAAACATTGGGCGTGTTTCTTTCCACCTGTTGTCTATGTTCCCCATCAGTAAAATGGGTACCTGGGTGTTAGTCGACTGGTGAGGGTTGCATCCTGGGACACTGACCTAAATTCCCCCACATGTGGAGCATAACAAGGGGCTTTCTATATAGTAGTATGTCATTGTTGTCAGCTAGGCCTGTATACCTTGTACATGTACTTGTAGTAATTAAAGATATTATTATTATTATTATTATTATTATTAAAGACTCTTCACTGCTTTCAATAACCTACTTCCTATTCCATACATTTGCAACATCTGCCACATTGTTCCCCTATCCACCCTATCATATGCCTTTTCCAAATCCATAAATGTCACAAAAACCTCTTTACCCTTATCTAAATACTGTTCACCTACATGTTTCACTGCAAACACTTGGTCTACACACCCCCTACCCTTCCTAAATCCTCCTTGTTCATCTGCTATCCTGCTCTCCGTCTTACTCTTAATTCTTTCAGCAACAACTCTACCATACACTTTACCAGGTATACTCAACAGACTTATTCCCCTATAATTTTTACACTCTCTTTTGTCCCCTTTGCCTTTATACAAGGGAACTATGCATGCTCTCTGCCAATCCCTAGGTACCTTACTCTCTTCCATACATTTACTAAATAAAAGCACTAACCACTCCAAAACTATATCCACACCTGCTTTTAACATTTCTATCTTTATCCCGTTAATCCCAGCTGCTTTACTCCCTTTCATTCTACCCACTGCCCCACACATTTCCCCCCACACTTACAACTGCTTCTCCCTCACTTCTATAAGATGTTATTCCTCCTTGCTCTATACACAAAATCACAGCTTCCCTATCTTCATCAACATTTAACAATTCCTCAAAATATTCCCTCCATCTTCCAGATACCTCTAACTCTCCATTTAATAACTCTCCTCTCCTATTTTTTAACTAACAAATCCATTTGTTCCTTACGCTTTCTCAGCTTATTAATCTCACTCTAAAACTTTTTTTTATTTTCAACAAAATTTGTTGATAACATCTCACCCACTCTCTCATTTGCTCTCTTTTTACACTGCTTCACCACTCTCTTAACCTCTCTTTCTTTCCATATACTCCTCCCTTCTTGCATCACATCTACTTCGTAAAAACCTCTCACATGCTAACTTTTTCTCTCTTACTACTCTCTCTATATCATCATTCTACCAATTGCTCTTCTTCCCTCCCACACCCACTTTCCTGTAACCACAAACTTCTGCTGAACACTAACACTATATTCTTAACTTACCCCATACATCTTCTACCCCATTGCCTGTATTCTCACTAGCCCATCTGTCCTCCAACAGCTGTTTATAATAATAATAATAATAATAATCAGCAATTACCAATATAGAAAATTGACATAAAATACGTGTCCACTGGAGGATAAATCCTACAAAAGAAAACAAATTATAACTATGCTCTGTAAATTAAATTTAAATAAAGCCACAGGATTTATATATCTAGTGCAATAACGACTTTTATATTAACTACGCATACAACCGTGAACATGAGATGAAATAATTTACACTATCATATGGATTTACCAGCTGCTGGATGGAATATATAGCAGTGAACATTAAAATGATGCACAGTGTATGTGAAGTAATAAACAAAATACTTAAAAAAAATGTTCCTAAATAAAAAAAAAGTTACTCATTTTTTTTTTTACTGAAAATTTATCTCCAAAATATGCATGCTTACCCCACAAAGCTAAGCACAGTTCCAACAAGGGTCAGCAGCTCCATCATATAGGAGACATTCAGACCAACATAAGATGAGAAACACAGCACAGTTAGTTTATCATAAAAACACTGCTTTGGGTATTTGAGATTTGGCAGCTGTGTGTGGGCAGGCAGAATTCCCTTTTCTCCATACAAACCTGCAAGAAATTAATGTTTTGAATGCATCAATGTGCAGTAGATCAACAATACTACTAGTCACATCTTACAGAAACTGGAGAAATGAACGTGACAGCATTTGCATGAGATGCTAAAACAGTTTCCAGTTATTAAAATATGAGCACTGAATTTTTTGCACTAATTAAATTTACAGTGTGGTATTACATAAAAAAGCGCATTCAAACATGAATCCTATATTACATGAATGAAATGAATTTACAGTTTGTAGTTAAAACTTAACCAGATTTTTTTTAACACACCAGCCATCTGGCACCAAGGGAGGGAGGGAGGGTGACCCCCTCCCCTCCCCCCCCAAAAAAAAAAAACTTTCATCATCACTCACTCTCATCACTGTCTTGCCAGAAACCTGCCAATACTATAATTCAAAACTGCAAATATCCTTACCAGGTCCTTGTTCCAGGATGCGACCAACACCAGTCGACTAACTCCCAGGTGCTCATTTTACTGATGGGTGAATATATACAACCAGTGTAAAGAAACACGCCCAATGTTTCTACCCGCGCTGGGAATCGAATGCATACCCTCACCATGTGAAGTAAGAGCTTTAGTGATCAAGCCACGGGGCACCGTGATCATACAATGATTATACATAGTGTATATTATTTAGGATAACCCAAAAAATGTCAGGAAAAAGTGACTTATTTCAAACAGGGGCCTTGTAATATATTATTACTTAAACCTTAAAAGTTAAAACAGGTAAGCAACTCCAGTAACTGTGATACTGTAAACCTTTTCTACTATAGTAAGTTTATTCAGGTACAGGTACACATAAATAGAGTTACATAAATTATAATACATAGCAGCATATGTGTAAATTACCTTGTGCTAGAATAATAAAAGTCAAGGCAACTTATTTCCATTGAGGTCCTTGAAAGTAAAGTTGAGAGTAATTATTATTATTATTATTATTATTATTATTATTATTATTATTATTATAATCATGGGGAGAGCTAAACCCGTAGGATTATACAGCACCTGTGGGGGAGGGGGATGGAAGATATTCAGGCTTAATTTAGGGAACTGGAGCACAGACCCAATTCCCTAGATCAAGAGCCCTTCACCAGCATCAAGGAAGCTTCCTTGAAGGGAAGTTGTGAGTATAATGGCATTCCTTGAAGGGAAGTTAAGAGTAAGTATAATGACATTCCTTGAGGGGAAGTTAAGAGTAAGTATAATGACATTCCTTGAGGGGAAGTTGAGAGTAAGTATAATGACATTCCTTGAGGGGAAGTTAAGAGTAAGTATAATGACATTCCTTGAGGGGAAGTTAAGAGTAAGTATAATGACATTCCTTGAGGGGAAGTTAAGAGTAAGTATAATGACATTAGGTTTATATTTATGAGCACCACATCCATTAATTTAATAAATCAAATTTCTCAAACACATATAAGCATGAAATTAAGTGATTTTTGTAACGTAAAATGCAACACCTCACATGATACATCACAAATACCTTACAATACGCAGTTACATCAATATTAACATAATTTACAACACTGCATTGCATTCAAAAAAAAAATTATCGATAAGTTTCTTAAGGTATAGGTGTACTTAAATAAATTACATAAATCATCACATATAGCAGCATATGGGTTGATTAATTAATATTTAGGATAACCCAAACTAGTCAAAAGTGACTTATTTTCACTGGTATGGTCATATATAACAAAAATTAATTTTATTCTTACCCGGAACCTGCAGATATAGAGACCCGAAGGCAAACATATAGATCCCACACATACACCGCAGGAAGAAATTCCTAGTGTGTAATATATCCACAGCCATAGTTGTATAACGTTGATGTACAAGGAGTGGAAAATAAGTGTCAGGAGAGCTCAGGAGACACACACTAACCCACACTAGCTCACTAGCACCTCCCTCCACTAGTACCTCTCATGTCAACAAAACAATGCATGGCGGCAACACACAAGTCGTATTTTTGCACAAATTTCTCTCTCTTTTGTCATTGACACGCAGTGTGGCCTTATTTACCACCTGCCATTATGTCACACTGTAATTATTATCTATACATATGCTTCATATATTGCAGGGAATGATTTGAAATTAGTCAGGGAAGTGAGCGTCAGTTATCTTGTTCGGTTGGTATTTTGGCCACGGCGAGGTGTAAGCAAGCAAGGTATAAGTAAGTTTATTCAGGTATATACAGTCACATTGATTATCGTATATAGCAGCATATGTGTAGAGAAACAAGCAAGCAAGTAGGTAAGTAAGCAAGCAAGTAGGAAAGTAAGCACGCAAGTAGGTAAGTAAGCAAGCAAGTAAGTAAGTAAGCAAGCAAGTGGGTAAGTAAGCAAACAATTAGGTAAGTAAGCAAGCAAGTAGGTAAGTAAGCAAGCAAGTAGGTAAGTAAACAATTAGGTAAATAAGCAAGCAAGTAGGTAAGTAAACAATTAGGTAAGTAAGCAAGCAAGTAGGTAAGCAAGTAGGTAAGTAAGCAAGCAAATAGGTAAGTAAACAATTAGCTAAGTAAGCAAGCAAGTAGGTAAGTAAGCAAGCAAGTAGGTAAGTAAGCAAGCAAGTAGGTAAGCAAGCAAGTAAGTAAGTAAGCAGGCAAGTAGGTAAGTAAGTAGGTAAGGAAGCAAGTAGGTAAGCAAGCAAGTAGGTAAGTAAGCAAGCAAGTAGGTAAGTAAACAAGTAGGTAAGTAAGCAAGCAAATAGGTAAGCAAGCAAGTAGGTAAGTAAGCAAGCAAGTAGGTAAAGAGTAGGTAAGTAGGTAAGTAAGCAAGCAAATAGGTAAGCAAGCAAGCAAGTAAGTAAGCAAGCAAGTAGGTAAGTAACCAATGTCAAATAGGTAAAGTAAGCAGGTAAGTAAGCAAGAAGTAGGTAACGTAAGCAGGCAAGTAGGTAAGTAAGCAGGTAAGTAAGCAAGGAAGTAGGTAAGTAAGCAGGCAAGTAGGTAAGTAAGCAAGCAAATAGGTAAGCAAGCAAGTAGGTAAGTAAGCAAGCAAGTAGGTAAGTAAGCAAGCAAGTAGATAAGAAAGCAAGTAGGTAAGTAAGCAAGCAAGTAGGTAAGTAAGCAAGTAGATAAGTAAGCAAGCAAGTAGGTAAGTAAGCAAGCAAGTAGATAAGAAAGCAAGTAGGTAAGTAAGCAAGCAAGTAGGTAAGCAAGCAAGTAGGTAAGTAAGCAAGTAGATAAGTAAGCAAGCAAGTAGGTAAGTAAACAGCAAGTAGGTAAGTAAGCAAGTAAGGTAAGTAAGTAAGCAAGTAGGTAAGTAACCAAGCAAGTAGGTAAGTAAGCAGGTAAGTAAGCAATGAAGTAGGTAAGTAAGCAGGCAAGTAGGTAAGTAAGCAGGTAAGTAAGCAAGGAAGTAGGTAAGTAAGCAGGCAAGTAGGTAAGTAAGCAAGCAAATAGGTAAGCAAGCAAGTAGGTAAGTAAGCAAGCAAGTAGGTAAGTAAGCAAGCAAGTAGGTAAGTAGGTAAATAAGCAAGCAAATAGGTAAGCAAGCAAGTAAGTAAGCAAGCAAGTAGGTAAGTAACCAATCAAGTAGGTAAGTAAGCAGGTAAGTAAGCAAGGAAGTAGGTAAGTAAGCAGGCAAGTAGGTAAGTAAGCAGGTAAGTAAGCAAGGAAGTAGGTAAGTAAGCAGGCAAGTAGGTAAATAAGCAGAGAAGTAGGTAAGCAAGCAAGTAGATAAGTAAGCAAGCAAGTAGGTAAGTAAGCAAGCAAGTAGATAAGAAAGCAAGTAGGTAAGTAAGCAAGCAAGTAGGTAAGCAAGCAAGTAGGTAAGTAAGCAAGTAGATAAGTAAGCAAGCAAGTAGGTAAGTAAACAGGCAAGTAGGTAAGTAAGCAAGTAGGTAAGTAAGAAAGCAAGTAGGTAAGTAAACAGGCAAGTAAGTAAGTAAGCAAGTAGATAAGTAAGCAAGCAAGTAGGTAAGTAAGCAAGTAGGTAAGTAAGTAAGCAAGTAGGTAAGTAAGCAAGCAAGTAGGTAAGCAAGCAAGTAGATAAGTAAAGTAAGCAAGTAGTAAAGTAAGCAAGCAAGTAGGTAAGCAAGCAAGTAGATAAGTAAGTAAGCAAGTAGGTAAAGTAAGCAAGCAAGTAGGTAAGCAAGCAAGTAGATAAGTAAGCAAGCAAGTAGGTAAGTAAGCAAGCAAGAAGGTAAGCAAGCAAGTAGATAAGTAAGCAAGCAAGTAGGTAAGTAAGCAAGCAAGTAGGTAAGTAAGCAAGCAAGTAAGTAATGTTATTTACATAGGTACAGTTAGACATACATACAGATACACAAATTATCATACACAGTAACATATACGTAGATTACCTAGGATAACCCAAAAAAGTCAGTGATTTATTTCCATACACCATGCTGATGCAGGGCTTTTGATCCAAGGACAGGGAACTGCCTTCTTCCTTGGATCAAACCTTAGGTTAGGTAAGGTTCCTTAGGAAACAGGTCAAGTGTTCCCTGACGCGGGTCTTAAGTCACATGATGACCCTGCCACTGGTCATCTGAGTGAGACCTTCCACTGGCTTATCCCTCCACCACGGTTCCCCAGGTGACCTAATGACTCCCACGGTTCCCCAGGTGATGTATTGACTCCCACGGTTCCCCAGGTGATCTAATGACTCCCACGGTTCCCCAGGTGATGTATTGACTCCCACGGTTCCCCAGGTGATGTAATGACTCCCACGGTTCCCCAGGTGATGTATTGACTCCCACGGTTCCCCAGGTGATGTATTGACTCCCACGGTTCCCCAGGTGATGTATTGATTCCCACGGTTCCCCAGGTGATCTAATGACTCCCATGATTCCCCAGCTGATCTAATGACTCCCACGGTTCCCCAGGTGATGTATTGACTCCCACGGTTCCCCAGGTGATCTAATGACTCCCACGATTCCCCAGGTGATCTAATGACTCCCACGGTTCCCCAGGTGACCTAATGACTCCCACGGTTCCCCAGGTGATCTAATGACTCCCATGATTCCCCAGCTGATCTAATGACTCCCACGGTTCCCCAGGTGATGTATTGACTCCCACGGTTCCCCAGGTGATCTAATGACTCCCACGGTTCCCCAGGTGATCTAATGACTCCCACGGTTCCCCAGGTGACCTAATGACTCCCACGGTTCCCCAGGTGATCTAATGACTCCCACGGTTCCCCAGGTGATTTAATGACTCCCACGGTTCCCCAGGTGATCTAATGACTCCCACGGTTCCCCAGGTGATCTAATGACTCCCACGGTTCCCCAGGCGATGTATTGACTCCCACGGTTCCCCAGGTGATGTATTGACTCCCACGGTTCCCCAGGTGATGTATTGACTCCCACGGTTCCCCAGGTGATCTAATGACTCCCATGATTCCCCAGCTGATCTAATGACTCCCACGGTTCCCCAGGTGATGTATTGACTCCCACGGTTCCCCAGGTGATCTAATGACTCCCACGGTTCCCCAGGTGATGTATTGACTCCCACGGTTCCCCAGGTGATGTATTGACTCCCACGGTTCCCCAGGTGATCTAATGACTCCCACGGTTCCCCAGGTGATCTAATGACTCCCACGGTTCCCCAGGTGATCTAATGACTCCAACGGTTCCCCAGGTGATATAATGACTCCCACGGTTCCCCAGGTGATCTAATGACTCCCACGGATTCAGCATTCTTTATTATATATAAAAAATGTCTCATTACTTATTCCGTATTTTATATGAAGTGATTTTGGTTATGTTGCTGATTATAATATGGAAGGATACAGAATAAATGCGAGAGCTATAGGGAGTTGTATCTTATATAGTATATGTGGGCAATCTATGCAAATATAGAAGAGACAGACAGAGAGACAGACAGAGAGAGAGACAGAGAGAGACAGAGAGAGACAGAGACAGTGTCAGAGAGGTGGGGAGGGAGGAGAGTTATGGTAGACACCCAGATGTTACACATGTACACTATATCCAAATGTCGGTACTGTAGTGTATACTTATGTTGTCACCTGTTTGTACACACCTAACTGCGTTTGGAGGGGTCGAATCATAGCTCTTGGCATTACCTCTTAACCGCTATCGACCGGCTTCACTGACTGCTGGTCTTCAAGACCCGGCAAATCTACTCTCAAAGATGTCCATCACGTACAGTAACTTCTTTAATATATTGTTGTTTTATCTGAGAGAGAGAGAGAGAGAGAGGGACAGAGAGAGAGAGAGAGAGAGAGAGAGAGAGAGAGAGAGAGAGAGAGAGAGAGAGAGAGAGAGAGAGAGAGAGAGAGAGTGAGTGTACCTGTCTTCCGGGTACAAGGACCATCATCAGTATTTATAACTATGACCTGCTGTGTCAGCCTCGTCATGATCATCTACCTGTGTTCTGACTGCCAACCAACGAAACACCAGATTTAGCAAAACTCAGAGATAAGATGGAAACATATGGGCGTGTTTCCTTACACCTACTGTCCCGTTCACCTAGCAAGTAGGTACCTAGGAGTTAGTCATCTTACACCTACTGTCCCGTTCACCTAGCAAGTAGGTACCTAGGAGTTAGTCATCTTACACCTACTGTCCCGCTCACCTAGCAAGTAGGTACCTAGGTGTTAGTCACCTTACACCTACTGTCCCGTTCACCTAGCAAGTAGGTACCAGGTGTTAGTCACCTTACACCTACTGTCCCTTTCACCTAGCAAGTAGGTACCTAGGTGTTAGTCACACTTACACCTACTGTCCCGTTCACCTAGCAAGTAGTACCTAGGTGTTAGTCACTTACACCTACTGTCCGTTCACCTAGCAAGTAGGTACCTAGGTGTTAGTCACCTTACACCTACTGTCCCGTTCACCTAGCAAGTAGGTACCTAGGTGTTAGTCACCTTACACCTACTGTCCCGTTCACCTAGCAAGTAGGTACCTAGGTGTTAGTCACCTAGGTGGTTAACGCTCTCGCTTCACACGGTGAGGGCCTGGGTTCGATTCCCAGCCAGAGT